ATCAAAATAAAAATCCTGAGGGCAAACTGGTGATCGCGGATGGGAGATAGAGAAATGTGAGTGATTTTTTCCCTAGAGAAGCCATACAGCCTACTAGGGGCTGTCTGGGTCCGTACACAGATAACACATGGAGAGAACAGACTTTATCTTCTGATCATCAACAGAGGCTTATGAGAAATGGAGGCCCAAGTTGGATGGGTGGTTGCTACAAAGAAGGAGTCACATGGATTGGAAAGCAGGTTGTGCTCCACTACTTGTCCTCTGTGGTTCTGGGAAGCACTTGGCTTTTCTCCTTGGCAAATGGTGACTACTGCCTCAAAAACTCGGTGAGGATGAGTAAGTTTACTGAGGCATGATGACCTGAGAGGAGCTGAAAGAGGAGGGACACCACCAGCGGCCCCTACCCAGTCTACTGAAGGAAACAGCGAGGTCCCCTGAAGGATGGGTCAATAGTCCCTATTGCCTCCCACACCCTGTTGAGCTGAAGAGATGAAAACTGACCAAAGGTAACAGGAAGATTTGGTGAATGGCTCAAGGGGCCATTGAGTTGGGTCGAGTATCCATAAGCTGAAGCACTTCACTTTGAAGTTTGGAATCAGGTAATGCTGAGCACCAAATGCCTCTCCCTCCCTGCTCTCTCCCCACACCAACATGTCAGCACCTCCTCAAAATGCTGAGACATCACTCCAGGGAACGTGAGGGCAGAACCCCTGAATTAGCTGAGAATAAGTTTCTGGCACTGAACAAGCTCTCAAAATAGGAATCTAACTGTTCAGAAATCTGTGGACAGTTCTATTGTGTTTGGATGGTAGAGTTTATGGCTTTAATTTATGCTGACTAATTATGTAAGCCCTCAGAGGAATTGAGCGTGTATTTGTTCTCTGCTTCTTTCCCCTTCCCCCAGCGTTTCCAGGAATGGCTGGGATTCTGAATGGAGCTGATAAAAACAGAGAACTGTCAGACACACATTGCAGATCTGTCTTTACAGCTTTAAAATAATTCAGAGCACATGTTTCTCCTGATGGCAGGAAAGTCGTTTTACTGTTACATGGAAAGGACATCATAAATTCTATATACCTCCATCTATGCTTTCTCTGACCGGAGAAGTTGACACAATTTTGACTCATCTGTGACCAAATTTTGGAAGCTGTGAGGATGGAACCAAGTGTCAATGTATCCATAAGTGGAGGATATATACTCCAAGGGGGTGACAGTGTCTCTTTTACTAGTGACATTGAGGAAAATGGCAGGGACAGCTATCACTCAGTATGGCTTGGCTACAGAGCTGCCTAAAGGCAGTGTCACAATTGCTCAAAGCAGAGACAGGAACAACTCCCAGGGCTTGAGGAAGTAGGTCAGGTCTGACAGCCACTGCTGCTTGGCTCTGCCTTCCCGGCTCCCCTCCTCCACCTGGTGTTCTTTGGGTTTCCTCCTTCCTCTCATTTTCCAGACACCATCTTAGCTCCTCCTCCTTCCTCTGACTTCCAGTCCCTCTCTCAACTTGACAGGAACACAAAGTAAAATGCTTCTCGAAACAGAAAGCCCCAAATCACTTACCAGGCTGAAAGACAGTAGAATGTTAAAAGCCTTATTCCCGATTTCTGCTGAATTTAATTTGGTTAACCCAAAATGCTGAGATTTTGTGCTGAGATTGTGGGCAATTTATAGTTTTTGGAATCTGTATTTGTTTCCTGGGACTGATTTAAGGAAATCAGATTGATGCTATTGTCATTCAGAAAATATTCCTTATTTATCAAACATCATCCAAAATCATATATTAGCTCTTTTGAGGTATATTTTTATCTTTAAGCATAAAAATTTACTTTTCAACTAGACTTGATATTTTTTCTTTGTAATATATATACTCTGCTAGGAATTTTTGTCCTGTTACCTGATCAACCAGGACCAGTGCTTTGGCTTTCAATAGTACAATACTATGGAACTCTTCTCTTTTTTTTTCTTACTTTTTTGCTAGGCAACAGGTCCTCACACTGTCTATAGACCCTGTGCTGTTTATCAGCGGGGCATCTGTCTGCCACATCTATAGAGTTGCACAGACAGAGCATAGATAGGTCATGTGAACATCAGAGCTCTTCCCTACTAATCTGGATCATCCCAATAGAGTGCAGTCTAGGGCAAAAGGAAGGTAAGAACAAGAATCAGGAAAGCAAATGATAGTGAAGATCAGGAGACAGATGTAAAACCAGGAATGGGATTGACGAGATACTAAAGGGCAACTGCCCGAGGAAGTCTGTGGCTGTATGTCTATAGTCTGCTATATTAACCAAACTTGTCCTGTTTATACCATCATCTCTGATCTGGGATCCTACTAAAGGGTCCATCTGATTTTGACACTGACATTGACATTGACATTATCCTTACCCTCATTATCAGCTGTTGATTCTTAAGAGTTGGGACCTCTTCCAGTCTCCCTCAGATTCCTTGCTACTGCTGCCTGATATTGCTTGTGATGGAGAAAGAATTCTGGATGCCAGGAAAGTCCTGGCTCATGGCCTCACCCACAAACAACCTTCACTCACCAAGCCATCTGCTTGCAATCTACAGCCTTGATCTTACCTGCACTTCTGATTCAGTGTCAAATTCAGGATGGGGCTCCTTGGGGCTCTCATTGGCCATGATGTATGGCCTTTGAGAGCATTATTTCCACTTCTATATCAAAGTCTATTTACCAAAACCACTTATTATTACTTATTTACCAAGCCACAGCTATGTTCCAGGTACTCTTCTGAAGGGTAAAAGTAAAACAAAACTCCACTTTCCATTCCTAGAGTCAGAGTGTTGAAAATCAAATGGTATTCTTTTTTAACCATATGCCAAGGTCCTTGAAGTTCAAAATGTATCTCAGGTTCAGCTAAACTCATTGTTATCATCCTTTAATCCTGACCCCTCCCTACTCAGCCCCTGGGAAGTACCCACTTCACAACATAAGGCCAACCCTGTACCCTCCTCCCTCTGGTCAGGGTCTGGGCACATGACTCACTCCACCTGTTAGTGCAGTTCCTCCCTAGGCAAAAAGCCAAAGCCCAAAGCCATACCCTCTTTTTGGAACTCAGTTTAAATGTCAGTTGCTCAGACAAATCTTCTTGTTGACCTCCCAAAATGATTTAACCCCCTACTGTAGTTCCTAGTCCCCCAGGCACAAGCTCCTCCCTCTTAAAATTACAAATTAAGTGCCAACTTGTCTTCCAAGACAATAATCATGGGAGCAGATACAGTGTGGTGGTGCCTACCGCTTCTACAGTGCACAAGTAGGAATGTTTTTAAGTAAAACAATACAAGGTCAGGTGCAGTACCTGTAATCTCAACTTCTTGGGAGACTGAAATAGTTGAATAGTGGTTTGTTTTGTTTAAAAAAAGTCTATGCTTAATGCAAAGGGATAGGACATCAGAATTCTTTGCTGAACTCCTGGGAGGATTATGATTTGAATCCAGCCCAGGCAAAAAGCAAGAATCTATCTCAAAGAACAAACCTGGCATAGTGGGACTGCAATCCCAGCTATATCAGAGGCACAGGTAGAAGAATTAAGGTCCAAGCTTGTGCTGGGCAAAAGTGCAAAAATTCTATCTGAAAAATAACTAAAGCCAAAGGAAGTAGTACAACACTTGCCTAACAAGCATGAGGGCCCTGGTTCAAGCCCCAATACCACCTAAGTAGGGTCAAGAAAATAATTTAAAAATAGCTGGTTTTCTTATTTTACAAGACAATATCAGATCCTGTGATCACATTGCTAAGGTATTGTCCAGGCCCTCAGAAGGGGTAGCACTCCCATGGGGTCCTGCAAATTATATTTTTTTTCCAGCTCCCAGAGAACTGCCTCTGGCCAAGGACTAGCTTTATCTCCTTCATTACTATCTATACCCCTGGTACCTGACATAATTGTATTTGGATGACTGTTGTTTATTAACTTTCTAATCACTGAATAAGACAAAGAAGGATTTGAAAAAGCATTTTAAGCATTAAGCCAACGTATATTTACATTAAATTATGCAATCAGAAGGAAAGAAGCATCTTGGCTTCTAAGAGTCAGGCTGATCCATGAAAGTTGACGTGTGATACTTGGTCTCCCATGACAGAAACATCCTGGATAGGACTGTCACATACATGTCCCGTGGCTACACTGCAGCTGCACTGCTTTCAGGCTGATTCTGATCTTTAACCTTGACTATAAGTAAAAAAAAAATTTAAACTCTCTAAAGCTAAGAGTCTTTGACAAGGATTTGAAATCAATTTGTCTTGCCTCTAAAATTGGGTACCTTTCTTTCTCTGTTGCTGGCACTGAGCAAGGACTCTGCCTTTCACCAATCTTTAAAATGATGAGATTCTTCAAAACTGTATAGATTATTACAAATAAGTCCAAGAATTTTGCATAGAACCCAGAGAGATGACAAAATGTTCAACCTCATCAAGTCGATGTCCCAGCCTCAGTTCTTTATGGGTATCTTCCTTGTTTGTTTGTTTATTACTGTGCTGGTACTGGGATTTGAACTCAGAGCTTTGTACTCTTGCTTGGCTTTTTCACACAAGCTGGTTCTCTACCACGTGAGCCACACCTCTACTTCTTTCACAGTTGATTTATTCTCTTTTGAGATTACTAAAATAAGTAACCAAGCTGATAGTGCTCTTCTTCACAAGCAAATGTAATAGAACACCTGTGTGTTGAAAGGCATATATCTATACAATTTAAGCATATATTATCTTGTCCAGTTCTGGCTCCATAAACACTGCATAAACGCCAGCTCTTATTTTTCTAAACAAAGCTGTTTATTTGGCATAATCTTTGGATTGGAGATGAACTTACTTCATTCGTGCATCCATTAATTTTTAAGGAGTTAATTCAGTATCTACTATGTGCTAGACCTGAGCTATACACTGAGGAAGGAATAGGGTAAGAATCAAAGATCATGAAAATGATTTGAAGAAACAGTCTCCACCATATAGACAGGAATGATATGAAAAAGTAGACTTGACAATCTCCTACCTTGAGATGATGATGTGTTCTCTCCTGCAGTTGAGCCTCTTTAATTGTCTGTTTTATTCCAAAGTACTGGAATAAAAATGGAAAAATATAATCAATCATGTAGCTCTTTATAAAAAAAATGTTTTAAAAGTAGACCAACCCACCATATGTTTCCAAATGCTCATCTGTTAAATGTCATGTAGATAACCAATTCAGACAATTGAGATTTTTGTTCTCAATGGGGTGACACCACCATACACACAATTTTTCTTACAACCAATCTATATGTCTTGTCTTTGACATAGGCCAAATATAACTGGTTCTTGTAAAATTGTCCATCCCCCCTAAAAAACCAAAAAGAATAATGAGAAATCATGAAAATAATTGTGTCTCAAAGCCAATAAAAACTTCTTCCGGATCCATTCCTTGCTGGAATCATGGCCTATGACTAAATGGCTATCAGTGCTGCTTCCATCCTGGCACATCCAGTTCCCAGGATGACCAATCTTTTATGGACCAACTTCAAATCCCTGCCCTGCCACCTCCTGCCATTGGAAGGTGGCTCACTGAAACTACTAACCACCTTGTTCTACAGGACTTTAGGAATGTTTAGCTTTTATTTCTCAGGAAGACATAGCCTTTGGCCACTGGTGGCCTCTGATGTCAATGGAGCCTTATAAAACCTGAGTTCTTTCTTGCTCAATGAGACTATGACAGAATTTAGCTCCTCTCTGTAGCTGCCTTGGTTCACTAAAAATAAATTTCCAGACCTCTTTCATAAATCAGTGGGACAGCACACCTACTCTTAGATTAGCCAAGATGAAGACAAAGCCAAGATGGGCAAACTCATAAGCTGAAAAGAACACCAGAAAGCTAAGTAAGGCAGCTAAGAATAGACCACTTATTTCCTAAGAAAAATATTTAAGTAAATGTGAAAATATCTAATAAACCAATCAATGAGTTTATAGGTATACAAAATATAATTTATCTTAGAGCAGGCAATTCTGCCGCATAGGCAGTCATAATATCAAAGCTTTTTTACTTCCTTTAAATTTATCAAGGTCTTCTTTAATTACCATAAACACCTAAAGATGTGAGCAAATTAACACATAAAATTGCAGGATTTTAGCTGATACATATTCATGGATGCATGTTATTATGATCAGGCAAATAATGACCCAAGACATTGATAAATTTGGTAGGAGCAGAAGAAAAGCACAGTGCACTGTTAGAATTCTCTGTGGATCCCAGAATGGAATCTTTGATAAGCTTGGCTCCAAGAGACCATTCATAACAATTATTGTATTTCTGTAATTCTGCCAAGAGAGATCAGCAAATGTTTAATCAGTAGGCTTCATGAGAAATAATCTCCCCCAACACTTGAATGCTAGATTAGTGAGAAAGAATGTTAGCTTCTTGAAAGGCTAAGTCCAAACTTTGATTCTCAGAATCTCTCTCCCATTCTTACTGGCATTCTTGCTTGTATTATGCTCTGCCACTTTGGTAGGACTAAGGATTTCCCAAACATTTGTGGGAATCTCAACTTGCAGTTTTTCCAAGGTCTTCAGAATGAATGTCTTTGATTTATATAGAAATATATGTCTCGTGTGTTGGCTCACCAAAGGCTGCTGAACTGTGGTTATTTTTTAATCCCTGGCCTGCTAACCATTCTCATTAGAATGTAAGCTCACACAGCTACTACTCATTAAATCCTTTGTTCTTACCAAGCAGACAGTGCCCTTATGTGTTGGAAAGTGTATTTAGTTGGAACAGAGCTTGACTGCTTCTCATAAAAGAATCTGAGCAAAAGCTCAGGACAGAGTGAAAAGCTAAGACACAACTGCATGAACTGCAAAAGTCATGCAAAGTGCTCTAGAGAAAAGGCCATAATTGCCAAGGGTGTGTCCCAAGTAGTAAAACACCTGCTTACCATGAGGTTCAGAGTTCAAATCACAGTACTGGAAACAATGATCCATAGACTTATGGCTTGAAAAGGAAATAATGTAGGAATGTTAATTAATTTCATCTGGGCTTATAAGATACTTCAAAATCATTCTCAACACAATATCTTAGTCCTTTCCAATTAACCTTCACAAGGAAGCACTTTAAAGTTCCTGGAACCAACAAAATTGAACTCTAGAATAGAAAAATACTGACACTTCTACCAAGCTAGCATTTTTTGAGTTTTTACTAGTTTCAGAAATTATGGCCTTTATCTATGAACTCATTTGTTCCTTACAAAAACCCTGACACAGGGGTTAATTTTGTCCCCACAGTAGTTGCTTTTTTAAAGTCACATACAATGATCTTAGAGATCACTAGTCAATTATCAGCCTTCCCATTTCTATATCAGAAATCCCAGTTATTATACTGTGAGCTGGACTAACATTAAATGGGGAGAAAGTGGCAGCTGCTTGTGTTCTGTGGCTTCAAGGAATGATGGAAAAATTCACTCTACTCACATCTTCAAGTTCCAATTCCAATCACAGATCTGTCTACCCTAACCATGTTGGAAATGTCTCCGATTACTGAGGTGTGGCATAGGAATAAGGACACCAGCTCAAAAGGAACTTGACAAGGCAAGACCTTACTTCTGCAGAATGGCATGTTACTGACAGAAGCCAATTAAGCAAGCATGTTGGTTGGCAGTCTGCCCAGGTTTTCTTCCTAACACCTTACTGCTCCATATTCTGATTGGTCAGAACTTAGCTTCCCAATTTTACATAATTGGCTAGTTTGAAAGGAGTTATTAGTTTATCCAAGGAGTCAACCAAAACAAGGATACCTGAACAAAACAGAAACTTATCTGGAAAAATATTCTGACTCTGGTACTCTACCACTTGAGCCATGCCTTCAGCCCCTAGAAAAGCAATTCTTTTTTGCCAATCCTGGGGCTTGAACTCTAGGCCTGGACTCTGTCCCTGAGTTTCTTTTGCTCAAGGCTAGCACTCTACCACTTGAGCCACAGCATCATTTCCAGCCTTTTCTGAATAGTTCATTGGAGATTAAGAGTCTCATTGACTTTCCTGCCCAGGCTGGCTTCAAACTGCAGTGTGCAGATCTCACCCTTGTGAGTAGGCAGGATTACAGGATGAGCAACCCATGCCTGGTTAAAAAAAATCCTTATAACAAGATGTAGTTTAGTTAAAATAGCTCTTTGTATGATGGAGGCTACCCTTAAAATGACAGGACTTACATCAAACAACCACTTTGACAGAAAAGATTCTAATTCCTACAAACAGAGGAGAACAAGTACAGTGGAGAGAACATGAAATGCAGAGCTCTCCCCCACCCCCAGTTCCTTCACAGTAGTCTGACTTTGGATGAATAACTCAGCCTCTCTGGACATAACTATAACCAAACCTACAGTACAAAATTGCATAAAGACTATTGAAACACATAAGAAAATAAATTTTCAAAATAGAATGATGTAGATAATGGTTAACTACCATTACTAAATCTAGAATTCAATTATGGCACATGATTTCTTCCAGAATTCTTGTATCTAGACAGTGGTATTTGCACTCAGGTTATGAGCCCAGTGGGGAGAAAGATAGTTAAAGTCTTTGGGGAAATGGAGCACACAGAAGTCATGTGGAAGTGTTGAAAAGAAGAGTCTAGGGCTCCTACTTCCCAGCTGTAATGATAGAAGGGAATTTTCCTGGAACTATCATCCCAGATACATAGTCTACATTTGGGTGTTACCATGGTCAGAAAATTCCCAGGCAGTCAGACACTTTCTAATTAGCTCTTGTAAAATGCAGATGTGATCACTAGAGAGTAAGTCATGGTGATGATGACATAAACATGGGATTGTTTAGAAAAGACCTAGGAATTTGAGAGTGAGCTGAGACTAAGAACAAGAGTACATACTCTTTTATTTATTAATTAATATTGGTCAGTCCTGCGGCTAGAACTCAGGGTAAAGGCACTGTTCCTGGAGTCTTTAGCTCAAGGCAAGCACTCTACTACCTTGAGCCACAGCACCCCTTTCATTTTTCTGTGATTAATTGGAGATATGATTCTCACACACTTTCCTGTCCTGACTGGTTTCGAACCATGATCCTCAGATCTCAGCCTCCTGAGTTGCTAGGATTACAAGCATGAGCCACAGTCACCCATCTCTTAATCACACCATACTCTTAATCAGTATAGACTTAGGTGAAGTAAACTAAAGATTCCCTGACATGGCATATCACTCTCTGCTCAAGCCCTTGGGGAGAGGGCCACACAGCCCTCCACTAACCTTTCACAAATTCAATTGAATGAGTTGGGCCTGAGTTAGGTCAACTTCAATTTGAATAAGTTGAACTGGCTACTTTGTCTAACCCTCACTCAGGTATGGCATGGTTTCAATTTTTCTTATTTTTCTCAAACCAGCTTTACACTAATGTGTCCTATTATTGACCAATTACTGAGCGTTGAGTCACATACACACACTATTTCCTCTTCTTCACATCCCATCGAACCCATCATACAATCCTTTCATTTCAATCACATGTTTGCCTTGGGAAATCATTTCCTCTCCATCTTTGCCACCATAGTTCATGCCCAAGCAGTCATCTGTCACCTTGGTAACTAGTGTAGATTACTGAAAAATCCCTACATCTGCTCTTATTCCAGTTCTCAACCTAGTCTCTGTAAAAGTAATTTGAAATAAAGAAAAGGAAGAAAAGAAGCCAGGTACTGGGAACTCACACCTATAATCCCAGCTACTCTGGAGACTGAGGTCTGAGAATCTCTGTTAGAAGCCAGCTCTACAAGCCTCTTATCTCAAATCAACCAACAAAAAGAACTAGAAGTGTGGCTCATGTGGCAGAGCACCAGCCGTAAGTAAAAAAGTCAAGGAAGAGGGTTCTGAGTTCAAGCCCCAGTTACCAGAATGAGAAGGGGAAAGAGGAGAAGAGAGGGAGAGAAAGGGAGGGAGAGAAAGAGAGAAGGAGGGGAGAGGAGAAAGAGAGAGAGAGAGAGGGAGACAGAGGGAGAGAGAGAGAGAGATGGAGAGGTAGGAAGAGAGGAAGAGAGAGGGAGAGAGAATATCTCAGCACCCAACAAGTCACCAAGATGATCATATTAGTTGCCTATTG